ACAAAAGTGGCTCACAGAGCTGGCAGAAAAGATAGAACTCAAGAGGTACCTGTGCAAACCAATAGCAGAGAGCCCAAGGGGCAAGTGCTTTCTCAGAGAGTACCTATAACCTTCAACAGGTGGTCAGTGCCCAGTCCTCACCTCACTCAAACTACCAGCAGCACCGCTTACAGCTCGTCATTCATTCCCTTCTTGAGGCACTTTCTTCACCAGGTTTCTAGCTTTCTACAACTTCCTGTTGTCCTACTTCCCTCATCTTTTCTTAATCTTCTTTACTGCAACCTCCTTTTCTAGTCTATCTGGAAAGCCTAAGCCTCAGTCTTATCTTTTCTTTCTATTTGCATATCTATAGGTATTCCTTCTAGTACTCACCCTTTCTTATGCTAAAATGTCACTATACCAGAGAGGCTAAGTCCTGATTAACCTATCTGAAACAGGAGCCCCCACCTGGGATTTCCTGTCCCCATACATCCTAAGGTTTTCTTTTTTTCATAGTATTTATCACCACCTAACAGGATATACATCTGCATTTACTATATATATATCTATGTATATGTGTATATTTGTTTTCATAAAAGCAGAAAACTTTTGTTCACTGCCATATTCCAGATCCTGAGACATTGCCTGCCACACACTCAATAAACATCTCTTGAATGAACAAATGAAGAAAGAAGTGATGTCAGAAGATTCAAAGCCCTTCTCCTTCAAGTTCTGGAAAAGAGGATAGAACCCCAAAGAGACTACAATTTGACTTCTTACTATTTCCGGTAGGAAAAAAAAATACAACTTGTATTACAATGAAACAAAGAAAGTTTTTCTTGCATATTTGAGTTGTGATTTGAGCTTCATAGTCCTTCACAAGTAAAATTAAAGTTCAATTGAGAGACATTTATATAGTACTGAATAGTTCTCAAATTCTTACTTCTTTACCCCTGACACACGTGCTAAGTAAAACAAACTTGCATCTGAAATGGTAGCTACTAAAATACAAGTTGAGAGGGGTGGGGGTGTGTGAATCCCAGACACTACCAGATTTCCTGATGAGGATAGTTTGAAAAAAAGCTTGAAAATTTTGAAACAACTTGCTACACTGCTTGGGGACACTGCTTTCAAGTTGATAAGATGATTAAGATATCAGGTAAAAATAAAGGCACACCTCTAAGTACTTCAAAGTATGCAAGAAAAAAAGAGAGAAAAGTGATGCTGGAAAATAAAAATAGACAAATTATGGTGGCACTGAAAGAAAAATTCCATGTCATAAAGAATTCCTTTAAGAAATTATTTTAGGATGGACAAAGACATCAGAAGAAGGTAAAAATAAGAATAAGAAAATGGTTTATGTGGGTAAAGTATTTAATATACAACATGCTATCTAATATCGGCATGATGATGAAAGAATGGAGAAATGGACACATTCATTTCATAAGTTTTTTTCAGCAGCCACTCAGGCTTGGGAGTGGAGTCAGAGCTGGGGAGACTGAGGTGACCTCAGGTGGGAAGGCAGCCAAGCCTAGGGGTAATGACAACACAACACTGGACCCCTCTGCAGGATCTGTGTGCACACACATGCTCACACACGGTGTTCTGCACACTCAGGCAGAAGCACCTACCCAGTCTTGGGGGAAATTGGTTGTCGAGCCTACTAGCTCAGCCTTTCCAGCCTTTGTAAAACCGGAGGCCAAGGAGAAGTTAGCCCAACAAAGAAGGGAGGTGGTAGAGGGGTGGTTAAGGCAGTGGGGAGGAGGAGGAAAGCAGTTCACAGTGTTCAACCAAGTACAAAGGCACATAGAAGAGAGAAAGCAGGTGGTCTGGGAACAGAAATTCTAAGAAGGTTGGCTGACACCAGGGCGGAGTTCCTCCTGAAGTGTTGTCCGCCTACCGACGCCTACAGCTGCTTTTTTCAATGACAAAGGGAGAAAGATGAAAATGACCTATATCCTGACACAGAAGAGCCAGCCTGAGGTGGGGGTTAGAATAAGACAGAAGGAAGATAGTAGGAGTAGATAGATACTGGTTATAAAATCATGTGACAAGTGACTTTAAGGGATGGACAGTTAGGGAACATCAAGGGATCTGATTAAATAAGAAAGCTAAGGCGAATATTTATCATGTCTCAAGCAAGAAAATGCCTTTATTAAGCAAAGTTAAATTTTCCACATAGATGGTGTTTAAGCCAGGACTATGGGGGATGTTAGATAAGGCGGTGGACGCAGCATCTCCCCCTCAGTGTAGGGAATGTGGGCGCACTGTGCAAGGCGCCCCTCAGCTTCTGACCCTGGGCTCCATGGATCCCGCCACCACCCAAGCCATTCTAAGTGCACTGCCAGGAAACAGTAAAGAAAGGGATGCTCTCTGGCAGGTGATGTCATTATGCAGTAATGTCTAAATACATATAGATGTGTATTTGAATGACAGTGACTCGTGAGATCAAGAACCAATTAAATCTGGGCAAATCTATCAAAATGAGAGGCAATGTTATTGCAAGTGGAAGAATGGAGGAAGAGTATAGGTCTTGGGCACACACTTTAAAGGGGCAGAAATCACAAAGAGAATTGGGAAAATGGAAACAAATGAAAAAAGAGCCTCATGAAAGGGGAGCTTGGAAGTGGCTACAGGAAAGAGGGCGAAGTCCATCGAGCCTTCGCTGCCGCCTGGCCTCCACTGGGACGCCGGTTTATGGTCTCTGGAGCAAGAGGCCGACAGTTAAAAGGAGTTTTGTCTGCCTGCTCAAGGAGAAGGGGGATTAAGAATAGTGATTATAGAATTGTTTTATAGTTCGGGCCACTCTTTCAACTTTAGGGAGACAATAACAATGTATGGCAATAGTGGAGAAAAGATTTTTGAATACGTAAGAACAACTAATAAAAAATGTACTGACTACCCCCTGTCTCTGGCTCCACTCTCTGAAATCCATGTCTCCGAGCAATACCTCTTTCATGAGTCCACACACACAAAGCCTGCCAGGACCAGGACAAGCACTTGAATGTCACATGGCACCTTGGAATCCAAAATGATCTCATTATTTCCCTCCCTTGTTCACCAATCTGGCTCTCTTTCTACGCTGCATCCCAGAAAATATCACCATGACCTAGTTGTATAGACTAATAATACAGACACTGTTGTTCTCCCACCCATTCAGCCCATACACCCAGGCCACACTCGAGTGCCTTTCGTTAGTCATTTAATGCTCACATAAGGTTCATACTTTATGCCATTAAAAAGATGAGGAAAATGAGGCTCCAAAAGGTTCAAGTTACATGCCTAGATGTGGCTAAGCTAGAAGACATGCAAAACAGCTACCAGTGCACCCAAAGTAAAAACCAAAAAAATCCTTTAAATGACCTACAGGGCCTCCAAGAACTTGCCCCTACACCCCCAGTCCCCGCAAAGATGATCTCCTCCTGCTCTCACCTCCTGCTCCCTGCTCCAGAGTCTAACCATTTTACTAGTCGGGGATTCACACTGAAGCTCCTGGCCTGGCCCCTGCCTGCTGCGTCTGCTTCCCAGCAACACCTCCCTGCTGGGTCCCCACCACTGCTCCCTCCCGGGACCCTTTGTGTGTCACTGCATTAAAGACACGCACTGCCAGTGCTCTCTCTAAGAGACTGGCTCCTCCTCTGGGCTCCCTTCCCTCCTTTCCAGCTGTATTATTTTCCAGCACATTTATCACCTCCTCAAGTCTATCTCTGAGGGCAGGACCTCTGGTAACTTTCTGTCTTTGGTACCTAGAACATTTCTTGCTACAAAGTGGATGCTTTATAAATATTTGACAAATGTGAATTCAACCCGGCAAATGCCTCGTAGATCCACCCTGTCTGCCCCATTCCTACTCTTCTGCCTGGACTCAGATCGTCTCCATAGCTTGTCAGGGCTACTGCCATGACCCCAAATGATCTGCAGTAATCTCCCTACTCCCAGTCACTGTTGATTCAAATCCATTATTCACCTTTATCTGATATGTACACTGATACCAAAGTTATTCAAATCCATTATTCACTTTTATCTAATTTTTACACTGATGGCAAAGTTACCTATCTTTTTATTATGCGTATCTGTCATGTCATTTACCTCTTCAGAGACCTTCAAAATCTCTACTGCCTACAGTAAAATCTGCATTTCTTATTTTACAATTCATAGTCCTTTATCACTTTGCCTCTAATTACCTTTACAACAAAATATCCTGGTAATATCCTGTGTCCCAGACATACCAAACTTCTTACCAGCCTCTGCAAATACCATAGATGATAAGATATGTTGCATTCTCTACGCAGTGAAATTCTTCAAAAACCAGTGCAAATGTCACTACCTAAAGAAGGAATTTATGGGATTGTATTTGAAGAAAGGGACAAAGAAAAAGAAAAGAAGGGAGAAAGTAAAAATAAGTCTACTGCTCTTGCAAATGAGACCTAACCCATGAATAGATAAGGCGAAGATTGAAAAAAATATATATATATACACACATATGCGTGTGTGTATATATGTGTGTGTGTGTGTGTATATATGTATATATATATATATGGAAAAAGAAATAAGAAACAGGCTGGAGACATAGTAACTATAAGAATAATGATGTTGAAAGAAAGCTATGTTTGTTCACTGGAAACTTTTGCATTTTATTTGGTATTATAAAAATTACTTATTGTTCTACCTTGTTTCAAAAGGTTCATAATAATAGTTATAGTTTCTTGGGTAGAACATATTCAAGGCCAGATTCTGGGCTAAAATGTTTTGCATGCCTTACCTTATTTAATACTTGCAAACTTATAGGGAAGGTGATATAACTTCTATTTTTCACTGGAGAAAAGTTAGGTTTAAATTATCTGATCAACACTATAGCTAGTAGTGGTCAAATTAGTTTTCAGGACCAGGAAAATCTGAATACAAGTCTCATGCTCTTTCCATATACTACATAGATGCCCTTGAAATTTGGAGATGTTTTGAATAGTTTCTTCTTCTGTTTCCACCAGTTTCCTTTTTCTTCCCTCTCTCTTTTTTTCTTCAGGGGAGAGCGCAAACGCAGTCCCCACTACCACAAATTATGCGGTCGAGTTTCCCACGTTTGGGGAAATCGCAGGGTTCGGCACATCCGGAGCGCGATGGGTGAGCCTCGCCCTGGGAAAGCCACCTTCGTGATCATTGCATCTCCCCTGCCAGGTAAGTATCTTCCTTCTCTTTTATGGCAAGGTGGTCACATCCATGGCTATACATAGCAGCATACTTAAACATACTATAACATACTATATGTTATATATCATAACATACTATATACTATGTTATAAGGTACACAGCCACAAGTCCAGACGGCTACCATTTAATTACAACAGCTATCTCTGAATACCTGTTCTCCTTTTAAACTTTCCTTCTTTACTCAGGGTTGGTTTCAGTTGTCTTCTTTTGGGGGCCGGGGAAGCTCTTTGCATTGTATTCCTAATACCTAAATTTTGAAGCAAAACATCTGAAATATATGCTTAGTGGAATGATTTACGTGTAGGGGACAGAATTAAGTGAGTGAATTTTAGATTCAGAGTCGCCTGGGTTCCAACCCCCCGTGCTGTGTACTTGCTATGAGACCCTGGGCAATTTTCTTAATTTCTCTCTAAGCGTCAGTCTTCACCTCTATAAATTGGAGATATTAATTGCACTTACCTTATAAGATTACAGGGGACTTCAATGCCACATATTAATACAAGTAGTAACAACGAGAGTACTGGTGGTATTATTTATAAATCTAACAGATGGATGTTTCATCTGGAACCTCCTTTTCTGGGATTCAGACATGTATGACTATGTTTAGTGAATTGATGGTATTATCTTGTAGAATCTATAGGGATAGAAAACCCTCACAGAGGAAGGAGCCAGGTGAGCAAGTCTTGCTCACTGGGTGGAGCAACCCGAAGATAAATTGGTTGTAAACTTGGATTCATCTTTTCCTCACAACTCTCCATCAACGTCTTGGACCAATGTCTGATGAGAGTGAGAGGCTGGCTATTTGGGGAATCTCTAAGTGTGTTTTCCAAGCACTATGAGACACTGAGGCACAAGCAGTACTAGTACTCCACCAAGGAAGAGTGGAATTGTGAAGAGGGAAGAATAGTATTCTTCTAGCTGTACCATACCCAGTGGGGTAGCTTTAGTGTTTCAAAGATTGCTGCATCAGTGATAAAAGAATTGGTATTAGCAAAGAAGTTAATTGTCCTTGTGCAGTGCCTAGCAAATTTGGGAAGCCAATGAAGGGAAAGGAGACTGGTGCAAAAGAAAACAATGAGACAGTCCCTCAGGACTTTATAGGAAGTTAAAGCTCTTCAAATAGCACAGATAGGAGTGGTGAAGGCTAAATAGCCAGGGCAACCTAGTCTAAGGAAACCTGTGACAACCACCATGTGAAAGAGCCTATGCCAACCCAGATGGTGGTAGACTATTAAAATAAGGCCACAAATTCTTCCTATATATTTGCAATATAACTTTGCAGCTCCTCCCATCACAGGTGGGGTTTATTTTCTTCATTCCTTGGCCATCTGATTGCTTTGGCAGGTGACACTTTAGCAAACTTGATGAGGGGGCCTAAAAAGTGCTTTTGTAGGAGAAGCCCTCTTATGCTGCCTTTGGCAATCTACAACAACCAACGTGTGAAGGAACCTAGGCTCGCTCAGATATGTTCCCTGTCCCTGCCAACAGCCAGTAGAGAACCAGGAGTGTGAGCGAGAACATTGGCTTCCAAGCTGTCTGCAAAGCACAACTGAGTTCAGCTCATACCAAATGGAACAGAAGTGAGATGTCCTAGCAAACACCCTTCCAGCACAAATTGCTGACCCACACTGACTAGTGAACTGTAAGGGTGTTATTGTTTTAAACCACCAAATTTGGGTAGATTTATAATCAAGGTTGTACTAACTGACATCCATAGATACATTTATCCATCTATCCATCCATGCATTTCTTCCCCTTTTTTCCCCAAAGGAACATGGGGTTATTATGACAAAGGACTGAATAGTCAATAAAGTTAATAGAAGTAGTAAAAGATAGAGGAAATATTGAATATATATTCTGATCATGAGGTCTAATATGATTTCTGTTGATTAGCATTACATTTAACCCTGAACATCTTGAAATCTAAACAAAAAAGTAATTGAGTAATATAAAGACAGGTCAACCACAAAATTCCAGTTATATGCTAAATACTTTACATATATGGTTACCCATGTCTCCAGCTTTGTGAGCTAAACATTACTATTCATACTTTATGGGTAAGGAAATTGAAGACTTGCGACATATCTCTACCCAGCTAATATATGGAGAGATGAAATTTAAACTGAGGAGTGTCTGATTCTAAAGTTCATGCCCTTTTCAACTCAAGGCAGACAAGCTATTGTACTTTATCAAATGTTATATACTGGACAATGAAGGATATTCTCAATTTCCTAAATGTCTCTTTTCTTTATAACATTCACTACTGCCTTAGCTCAATACCACATCATTTCTTAGATATACTCCTGGGCTTACCTTATAATAAGTTGCTCTCAATCCATTCTTACATACCCCCTCCCAATAGTTTTTTAGGTATGACCTTATTAAAATTCAAATATGATTCTGTCAATTTCCTCCATATTTATCTCCTCCAGATGACCTTTCCTAGGCACTTAGTGTCCTGCTGCTGTTTAGGGCCTGTCAAAACAATACCACACTTGGATTGAACCTCTGTTTGCCTCCCTGAACTCTGAGAGTATTCTGTTGTCCTTATTAGAATAAGGACATTTAGAAGTCTGGGTCCACAAGAAATCGCAAATGTTATAACCAGCTTTTGTTCAGAGATTCCTGAGCAACACTTAGAAATAAACTTAACCAAGAAGGTGAAATTTATAGGTGAAAACTATAAAATGTTGATGAAAGAAATTTTAAAATACACAACTGAATGGAAAGATAGCCCATATTTGTGGACTGAAGTAATTAACAAAATTAAAATATTTACACTACCCAAAGTGATCTAAAGATTCAGTACAATCACTATTAAAATCTATACAGAACTTTTAATAGAAAATAAAACAATTCTAAAATTCATATGGGACCATAAAAGATTCCAAATAGCCACAGCAACTTTGAGCAAGAAAAAGAAAGCAGATGACATCACACTTGATGATTTCAAACTATAGTATAAAGCTACAGTAATCAAAACAATATGGTATTGTCATAAAAACAGGCATATACACCAATAAAAGAACAAGTGTCCAAAACTAAACCCAGTCATATAAGGTCAACTAATCTTCAACAAAGGTGCTAAGTATACACTATAGGGAAAGAATAGTTTCTTCAGTAACAGGTATTGGGAAAATTCCATAGTCACATGGAATAGAATGAAACTGAATTCTTATCTTACGGCATGCACAAAAATTAACTTAAAATGGATTGAAAACTTAAAGTAAGACTTAGAACTATAAAACTCCAAGGTAGGGGGGGACATGAAGGAAAAGCTTTTCGACATTGGCCTTGGCAGTGATTTTTTTTGGATATGACACCAAAAGTACAAAAAACAAGAGCAAAAATAGACAAATAAAACTAAAATGCTTCTGTACCATAAAGGACACAAATAATAAAGTGAAAAGACAACTTACAAAATTGAAGAAAATATTCAGAAACTATCTATCTCATACAGGTTTAATATCCAAAATATATAAGAAACTCTTACCACTTAACAGCAAAATCCACCCAAATAACTCAGTTTTTAAAATAGACAAGGGACCTGAATAGACATTTCTCAAAAGAAGACATACAAATGGCTAACAAATACCTGCAAACATACTTGACATCATAAGGGAAGTGCAAATCAAAACCACATGAGATATTACCTCAGATCTATTAGGATGACTATTATTTTTAAAAAATGGATGATAATTGTTGGTGTGGATATGAAGAAAAGGGAACCCATTGTGCATTGTTGGTGGGAATGTAAATTGGTAATACCACTATGTAAAACAGTATAAAAGTTCCTTAAAAAATGAAAAATAGAGCTACAATATGATCCAGCAATCCCCTTTTGAGTACATATCCAAAATAATTGAAATCAAGATCTCAAAGAGATATCTGCATTTCCATGTCCATTGTTGCATTGTTCACAATACCCAAGACGTGGAAGCAACCTAAATGTTCATTGATGGATGAATGGATAATGACAATATGGTATTTAGACACAATGGAATATTATTACTTCTAAAAAGAAGAAAATTTGGACCTCCAGTCAAAATGGTGATATAGGTAAACATGGTTCACTTCTTTGCACAACCATAACAAAATTACAACTAAACTATAGTACTACTATCATTCAGAACCATCAGAAATTGAGCTATAACTACAGAATTAAAGAATAAACCACACTGAGACTGGTAGGAGGGTCAGGGATGCAGAAGGAGTGAGTCCCACACCCACATGTGGCAGATAAAAACCAGGAGAGATATCTCAGGAGCAAGGGGTCCCTGCCCCACACCAGGCCCCTCAGCCCAGGGTTCCAGTGCCAGGAACTTAAGTTCCCATAGCTTCTGGCTATAAAAACCAGCAGGGATTGAGGTTGTGGAAAGCAGAAATGTCAGGAGCCTCATGCAGTTCCTACTCCAGGGCCTACACACAGACTTACATGGACTCACACCCTCTGAGATTCTGTGTGGAGGCAGCAGAATGAAAGGCATCAGAGACATACAGGAAAGAACAAAACTGTCTGGCATCAGAGCAAGACCTGGAAGGCATCTTCTATCAGACAGAAGTGCTGGCAGAGGCCATTATTCCTTTCCTGAGCCCTCCCCCCCACCACATAACCAGAGAGCTATCAGGTGGGACCATATCTGAAACTCCATCAACCTTGCTCGCACTCTTTGCCCCATCCTGGTGATTCTCTATCACCCTGCCACACCTAATTTGCAGGCCCACTCGGGCTATTTCTAATGGCTATTCCATACAAATGGCTTGTCTTGGCCCATGCTTCAGATTTTCCTAAATTCTTTCAAACAAATGGAATCTGGCTTGAGTGAGCCCCATACCTCTTGCAATAGCGGTAGCCAAACTTGGTTCACAGCTTGGCCTGGCAATAGCAGTAGCCAAACTTGGTTCACAGCTTGGCCTCTCCAAGCCTAGCACATGTAGTGACCATCTACAGTTCACTTTGTAGCTTATGCTATGT